AATAACGAATATTACGAATTTATATCTAGACCATTTTCTTATTATACAACATACGATCCCGCGATAAGAATGGGACTCTGCGAAGCAGGACACTTCGTGTCTAAAAAGGCTATAAGGGCAATGAGTATAACGTTCTTTATCAGTAGTTTTATTAAAATTCATATGTCGCAGGAACTTGGAATTTCACAGATCGTCAAGATCTAACCTACTTCGAAGGATCGTCGAATCTAAAGGGGTTCTATTCCCCCCCCAAAAAAATGGCAATACAGATTCAGTATTTGGAGCTTATGACCGAGCGGACTTGCTTTGCTAAGTATGATTTGGCATTGTGCTAGGGTAACGTAATTACTAATTGTGCAATTTCGGGTTTTTAGATCTAGCGAACGAACGGTATAAAAATATGCAAGTTCCCGCCCATAAGATAAGTTAGCAATAACGTCATTTTTTGCTCGTATATATTTTACTTGAATCACTGCCCGTAAATTTTTTTTTAAGGTATTAGCTACTATGTTGCGTCAGATTCTAGAAAGTGAATCTAATTAAAACTTTTACATTTAGGAGTCGCACAAAATGCCCGTTGCAAAGATGGGAGAAATCTCAGTTGAAGTTGGTGAATAAATTAATTCTCTTACTATTTTTGTTAATAAATACGATTAAATAATATATATTGTTAATTTTTGTAGTTAGTCCAAGTTCTTGGGTAGGTAGAAAATTCATCAACCTTTATGGGGATGGTCCTGAAAAATCGCAAGAGCTCGGTGATGATAAGCTTTCTTTGTAAGTTATATGATTTTTTTTTGATTGTTTTATAGGCTTGCATTATATAATTTTGTTTTTCTTACGTCTATATTCTATTTGTACCATTTTATAAATTATAGTACGTTTCAAAAAAAAGATGGGTTATATTTCAAATTTGATGAAGAATCATTTGGACTCGATAACATTATTAGAAATAAGGGGTGTGATACATGGGTACTAAGAGAGTTTAAATTTCGATTGAAATATGAAAAAGATGTTCTCAGTGAACATGCTGGTTAATTTTTTTTAGCCGTGCTAGCACTATGGTGCTAATATTTTTTTTTATTTGTATTTTATGTTGTCATCCTGGCAATAATAATTTTTATAAATAAAGAAGGGGGTCCCGTGGCCTCGCTATTTTTTATTTTTACGTGATTCTTGTAATGTGATTTGCAATTATTAATTAGTGGAGATAACGGAGTCATACCTAGTTTTCTTATTAATCTATGCTTTTACAGTTACTATTTGGATTGAATTCTGATATTTATTCCCCCAACATGTAAGACGATAAGTTTTTGTATTGACATAATCGCCACTCCCCCACTCACCTTTTACATCATCTCTTTTATGCTCTTTATTACATACGAGACAGGTTTTTGGACAATTAAAATAGTCACCATATTCGTTACTATATTTCAAAGTTAAATAAGAGAATTGCTCCAATACCATTTTAATAACATGAGCTCGCTTTTTTTTGGGATCACCAGGTAAAATAGAGATTGGAGGTCGGGGTTTATTAGATGTATTTTCTTTGGATATAGGCGGTGTACTTACCTCAGTTTCTGAATTAGCAGAAATAGATGAATCAGAAACTCGAGACTTGGTTTCTTCAGTAGATGCATTTATCTCGGTTTCCAATAAAACCTTTTCGAGACGGGCCGTCCCGGAAATTTCAATTATATTATCTTCAGAAGTTACTTCAGGTGTAATTTCAAGCGAAGGAGAATTAGAGATTTGGCTCTCTGAGCTATGATTAATAATCTCTTGAATTTGGTCGTTAGTAAGTTCCGAGATAGAATTTGCACTATAGTTCTTAATATGTTTAATTTTATCAAGACCTATCTTTTCGAATAACTTATAAATTTTTACAGCTCTTTGAGTTTTTTTGCGCAAGGTATCTCGTGATATATTTAGAGGTTGTAAGCCCAAATCTTGTGATCGTTTTTTACGAAGAATAGAGAGTTGATTTTTCAATTTCATTATAAATTAAGGTTCTTGCTTTTTTCTCGCCAATTTTATTTTTACTACTCATCTCATCAACTTGAAATTCAAAATCCCTACCATAAAGAGACCAGCACATAATTTCTTCTTGATTAGCCTTCGAAGCTCGATCTTTTGCGCCTATGGCTGTATCACACAGCTGAGCTAAATGTTGCGATACCTTATTAATGTCGAATGAATTAACAATACACTTCACAGAACCATCCATGCTCTCAAATTTTTCGGGACGGGTCGTCTCAGAAATTTCAATCTGTCCTGGTTTAATATTT